GCAGGCGACAACTTAAACATTACTGTAGGCAACATCCTGAGAACTACTGCAGGCGACATCCTGAGAACTACTGCAGGCGACAACTTAAACATTACTGCAGGCGACATCCTGAGAACTACTGCAGGCGACAACTTAAACATTACTGCAGGCGACATCCTGAGAACTACTGCAGGCGACAACTTAAACATTACTGCAGGCGACATCCTGAGAACTACTGCAGGCGACAACCTAAACATTACTGCAGGCAACATCCTGACAACCAATTCAGGCAACATCCTGACAACCAATTCAGGCAACATCCTGCAGTAGACCACTGCAGGTGGTGTCTTAAAGAGTACTGCAGGCGACATCCTGAGGTCTGCTTCAGGACATGAGACTACTGCAGGCGACATCTTAAGAGCTTATCTTTTAGTGCAGACAGTTACTGTGTTAGACATGCTCAGGGCTACTGTGTTAGACATGCTCATGGCTACTGTGTTAGACATGCTCAGGGCTACTGTGTTAGACATGCTCATGGCTACTGTGTTAGACATGCTCAGGGCTACAGTGTTAGACATGCTCATGGCTACTGTATTAGACATGCTGAGGGCTACTGTGTAGACATGCTCAGGACTACTGTGTTAGCCATGCTCAGGGCTACTGTGTTAGACATGGCCAGGGGCTACTGTGTTAGACATGCTCAGGGCTACTGTGTTAGACATGCTCAGGACTACTGTGTTAGCCATGCTCAGGGCTACTGTGTTAGACATTACCAAGGCTACTGTGTTAGACATGACCAGGGCTACTGTGTTAGACATGCTCAGGACTACAGTGTTAGCCATGCTCAGGGCTACTGTGTTAGACATGACCAGGGCTACTGTGTTAGACATGCTCAGGGCTACTGTGTTAGACATGACCAGGGCTACTGTGTTAGACATGACCAGGGCTACTGTGTTAGACATGATCAGGGCTACTGTGTTAGATATGACCAGGACTACTGTGTTAGACATGCTCAGGGCTACTGTGTTAGACATGATCATGGCTACTGTGTTAGACATGCTCAGGGCTACTGTGTTAGACATGCTCAGGGCTACTGTGTTAGACATGACCAGGGCTACTGTGTTAGACATGCTCAGAGCTACTGTGTTAGACATGACCAGGGCTACTGTGTTAGACATGCTCAGGGCTACTATGTTAGACATGACCAGGGCTACTGTGTTAGACATGACCAGGGCTACTGTGTTAGACATGACCAGGGCTACTGTGTTAGACATGACCAGGGCTACTGTGTTAGACATGCTCAGGACTACTGTGTTAGCCATGCTCAGGGCTACTGTGTTAGACATGACCAGGGCTACTGTGTTAGACATGACCAGGGCTATTGTGTTAGACATGCTCAAGGGTACTGTGTTAGACATGCTCAGGGCTACTGTGTTAGACAAGACCAGGGCTACTGTGTTATGCTCAGGGCTACTGTGTTAGACATGCTCAGGGCTACTGTGTTAGACATGACCAGGGCTACTGTGTTAGACATGCTCAGGTCTACTGTGTTAGATATGACCAGGGAAACTGTGTTAGCCATGCTCAGGGCTACTGTGTTAGACATGACCAGGCTACTGTGTTAGACATGACCAGGCCTACTGTGTTAGACATGCTCAGGGCTACTGGGTTAGATATGACCAGGGCTACTGTGTTAGACATGACCAGGGCTACTGTGTTAGACATGCTCAGGGCTACTGTGTTAGACATGATCATGGCTACTGTGTTAGACATGCTCACGGCTACTGTGTTAGACATGCTCAGGGCTACTGTGTTAGACATGACCAGGGCTACTGTGTTAGACATGACCAGGGCTACTGTGTTAGACATGATCAGGGCTACTGTGTTAGATATGACCAGGGCTACTGTGTTAGACATGCTCAGGGCTACTGTGTTAGACATGATCATGGCTACTGTGTTAGACATGCTCAGGGCTACTGTGTTAGACATGCTCAGGGCTACTGTGTTAGACATGACCAGGGCTACTGTGTTAGACATGCTCAGGGCTACTGTGTTAGATATGACCAGGGCTACTGTGTTAGCCATGCTCAGGGCTACTGTGTTAGACATGACCAGGGCTACTGTGTTAGACATGACCAGGGCTACTGTGTTAGACACGCTCAGGGCTACTGTGTTAGATATGACCAGGGCTACTGTGTTAGACATGTTCAGGGCTACTGTGTTAGACATGATCATGGCTACTGTGTTAGACATGCTCACGGCTACTGTGTTAGACATGCTCAGGGCTACTGTGTTAGACATGACCAGGGCTACTGTGTTAGACATGCTCAGGGCTACTGTGTTAGACATGACCAGGGCTACTGTGTTAGACATGACCAGGGCTACTGTGTTAGACATGACCAGGGCTACTGTGTTAGACATGCTCAGGGCTACTGTGTTAGACATGCTCAGGACTACTGTGTTAGACATGCTCAGGGCTACTGTGTTAGACATGACCAGGGCTACTGTGTTAGACATGACCAGGGCTATTGTGTTAGACATGCTCAAGGGTACTGTGTTAGACATGCTCAGGGCTACTGTGTTAGACAAGACCAGGGCTACTGTGTTAGATATGCTCAGGGCTACTGTGTTAGACATGCTCAGGGCTACTGTGTTAGACATGACCAGGGCTACTGTGTTAGACATGCTCAGGTCTACTGTGTTAGATATGACCAGGGAAACTGTGTTAGCCATGCTCAGGGCTACTGTGTTAGACATGACCAGGGCTACTGTGTTAGACATGACCAGGGCTACTGTGTTAGACATGATCAGGGCTACTGTGTTAGACATGCTCAGGGCTACTGTGTTAGACATGACCAGGGCTACTGTGTTAGACATGTTCAGGGCTACTGTGTTAGACATGATCATGGCTACTGTGTTAGACATGCTCACGGCTACTGTGTTAGACATGCTCAGGGCTACTGTGTTAGACATGACCAGGGCTACTGTGTTAGACATGCTCAGGGCTACTGTGTTAGATATGACCAAGGCTACTGTGTTAGACATGCTCAGGGCTACTGTGTTAGACATGATCATGGCTACTGTGTTAGACATGCTCAGGGCTACTATGTTAGACATGACCAGGGCTACTGTGTTAGACATGACCAGGGCTACTGTGTTAGACATGACCAGGGCTACTGTGTTAGACATGACCAGGGCTACTGTGTTAGACACTGTGTTAGCCGCTCAGGGCTACTGTGTTAGACATGCTCAGGACTACTGTGTTAGCCATGACCAGGGCTACTGTGTTAGACATGACCAGGGCTACTGTGTTAGACATGACCAGGGCTACTGTGTTAGACATGCTCAGGACTACTGTGTTAGACATGCTCAGGGCTACTGTGTTAGACATGACCAGGGCTACTGTGTTAGACATGCTCAGGGCTACTGTGTTAGACATGCTCAGGGCTACTGTGTTAGACATGACCAGGGCTACTGTGTTAGACATGCTCAGGGCTACTGTGTTAGATATGACCAGGGCTACTGTGTTAGCCATGCTCAGGGCTACTGTGTTAGACATGACCAGGGCTACTGTGTTAGACATGACCAGGGCTACTGTGTTAGACATGCTCAGGGCTACTGGGTTAGATATGACCAGGGCTACTGTGTTAGACATGATCATGACTACTGTGTTAGACATGCTCAGGGCTACTATGTTAGAGTTGACCAGGGCTACTGTGTTAGACATGATCAAGGCGACTGTGTTAGACATGACCAGGGCTACTGTGTTAGACATGACCAGGGCTACTGTGTTAGATATGATCATGGCTACTGTGTTAGACATGCTCACGGCTACTGTGTTAGACATGCTCAGGGCTACTGTGTTAGACATGACCAGGGCTACTTTGTTAGACATGCTCAGGGCTACTGTGTTAGATATGACCAGGGCTACTGTATTAGACATGCTCAGGGCTACTGTGTTAGACATGATCATGACTACTGTGTTAGACATGCTCAGGGCTACTATGTTAGAGTTGACCAGGGCTACTGTGTTAGACATGACCAGGGCTACTGTGTTAGACAAGACCAGGGCTACTGTGTTAGTCATGCTCAGGGCTACTGTGTTAGACATGCTCAGGACTACTGTGTTAGCCATGCTCAGGGCTACTGTGTTAGACATGACCAGGGCTACTGTGTTAGACATGACCAGGGCTATTGTGTTAGACATGCTCAAGGCTACTGTGTTAGACATGCTCAGGGCTACTGTGTTAGACAAGACCAGGGCTAATGTGTTAGATATGCTCAGGGCTACTGTGTTAGACATGACCAGGGCTACTGTGTTAGACAAGCTCAGGGCTACTGTGTTAGATATGACCAGGGCTACTGTGTTAGACATGCTCAGGGCTACTGTGTTAGACATGACCAGGGCTACTGTATTAGACAAGCTCAGGGCTACTGTGTTAGATATGACCAGGGCTACAGTGTTAGATATGACCAGGGCTACTGTGTTAGACATGCTCAGGGCTACTGTGTTACACATGCTCAGGGCTACTGTGTTAGACATGACCAGGGCTACTGTGTTTGACATGCTCAGGGCTATTGTGTTAGACATGACCAGGGCTACTGTGTTAGACAAGCTCAGGGCTACTGTGTTAGATATGACCAGGGCTACTGTGTTAGACATGCTCAGGGCTACTGTATTAGACATGATCATGGCTACTGTGTTACACATGCTCAGGGCTACTGTGTTAGACATGACCAGGGCTACTGTGTTAGACATGACCAGGGCTACTGTGTTAGACATGCTCAGGGCTACTGTGTTAGACATGCTCAGGGCTACTGTGTTAGATATGAACAGGGCTACTGTGTTAGACATGCTCAGGGCTACTGTGTTAGACATGCTCAGGGCTACTGTATTAGACATGTTCATGGCTACTGTGTTAGACATGCTCAGGGCTACTGTGTTAGACATTCTCAGGGTTACTGTGTTAGACATGCTCAGGGCTACTGTGTTAGACATGCTCAGGGCTTCTGTGTTAGACATGCTCAGGGCTGCTGAGGAAGACAGTCAGAGGATTACTGAGGAAGACAGTCAGAGGGCTGCTGAGGAAGACAGTCAGAGGACTACTGAGGAAGACAGTCAGAGGACTACTGAGGAAGACAGTCAGAGGACTACTGAGGAAGACAGTCAGAGGGCTACTGAGGAAGACAGTCAGAGATCTACTGAGGAAGACAGTCAGGGGACTACTGAGGAAGACAGTCAGAGGACTACTGAGAAAGACAGTCAGAGGACTACTGAGGAAGACAGTCAGAGGACTACTGAGGAAGACAGTCAGAGGGCTACTGAGGAAGACAGTCAGAGATCTACTGAGGAAGACAGTCAGAGGACTACTGAGGAAGACAGCCAGAGGGCTACTGAGGAAGACAGTCAGAGATCTACTGAGGAAGACAGTCAGAGGACTACTGAGGAAGACAGTCAGAGGGCTACTGAGGAAGACAATCAGAGATCTACTGAGGAAGACAGTCAGAGGCCTGCTGAGGAAGACAGTCAGAGGCCTGCTGAGGAAGACAGTCAGAGGGCTACTGAGGAAGACAATCAGAGATCTACTGAGGAAGACAGTCAGAGGCCTGCTGAGGAAGACAGTCAGAGGCCTGCTGAGGAAGACAGCCAGAGGACTACTGAGGAAGACAGTCAGAGATCTACTGAGGAAGACAGCCAGAGGCCTGCTGAGGAAGACAGCCAGAGGACTACTGAGGAAGACAGTCAGAGATCTACTGAGGAAGACAGCCAGAGGACTACTGAGGAAGACAGTCAGAGATCTACTGAGGAAGACAGTCAGAGGACTACTGAGGAAGACAGCCAGAGGACTACTGAGGAAGACAGCCAGAGGACTACTGAGGAAGACAGTCAGAGGCCTACTGAGGAAGACAGCCAGAGGATCTACTGAGGAAGACGTACAGAGGTCTTTGTTATAAGGCATCATGAAGGAGACAGTATGAATCCTCCTGAACACGAAGTAAGCTTCAGGCGGGCCTGACCTAGTACTATTATACTATGGGAAATTATACCGGTAATTAGTTTATAAGATAATTTAACTTGGAAGTCATTAAAAAAGATAATTTCCCATACTATAACTTTTACTGTGATCTTTAATCAATATTATGAGCCCCTTAAGTGTTATTTAAGAGAACTTGCTAGATAAATTATATTAGAGTCCTATTTTGTTCTATATAAAAGTTTTAATAAATACTTGTATGGTAAAATACAATTATAAATGCTTTCGTTATTATCACCGCTATCATTTAATTATTGTTAGATTCAACATGTAACAACTTTTAACAAACCTCATTATCTCCAATATTTATTGTAAATAATAATGTTGCTTTGATATTGTTTCCTGTTTTATGTCAGGTACAGAGTAGAACAATCATTAATACATAACGTTGAAGAAAAATATATTTGTCAATGCTCGAATGGAATCAATGAAAACAGTTCATGAAAGACAACTGCCATGGGTCGCCAAGGCAACACGGGCAGCATAGTTGTTGACTACAGTGACTGTGGCAACACTGACAGCATAGTGGTAGACTACAGTGACTATGGCAACACTGACAGCATAGTGGTTGACTACACTGAATGTGGCAACACAGGCAGCATAATGGTTGACTACAGTGACTATGGCAACACATGCAGCATAGTGGTTGACTACAGTGACTGTGTCAACACTGGCAGCATAGTGGTTGACTTCAGTGACTGTGGCAACACTGGCAGCATAATAATTGACTACAGTGATTGTGGCAACACTGGCAGCAACACATGCAGCATAGTGGTTGACTACAGTGACTGTGTCAAAACAGGCAGCATAGTGGTTGACTACAGTGCTTGTTGCAACACTGGCAGCAACACAGGCAGCATAGTGGTTGACTACAGTGACTGTGGCCACACTGGCAGCATAGTGGCTGACTAGAGTGACTGTGGCCACACTGGTAGCAACACTGGCAGCATAGTGATAGACTACAGTGACTGTGAACACACTGCAGAAACACTGGCAGCATTGTGGTTGACTACAGTGACTGTGGCCACACTGACAGCAACACTGGCAGCATAGTAGTTGACTACAGTGACTGTGTCAACACTGGCAGCATAGTGGTTGACTACAGTGACTGTGTCAACACTGGCAGCATAGTGGTTGACTACAGTGACTGTGGAAACACTGGCAGCTTAGTGGTAGACTACAGTGACTGTGGTCACACTGGCAGCAACACTGGCAGCACAGTGGTTGACTACAGTGACTGTGGCCACACTGGCAGCATAGTGAATGACTACAGTGACTGTGGCAACACTGGCAGCATAAAGGATGACTACAGTGACTGTGGCAACACTGGCAGCATAATGGTTGACTACAGTGACTGTGGCAACACTGACAGCGTAGTTATTGACTGCAGTGACTTTGGCAACACTCGCAGCATAGTAGTTGACTACGGTGACTGTGGCCACACTGGCAGCAACACTGGTACCATAGTGGTTGACTACAGTGATTGTGGTAACACTGGCAGCATAGTGGTTGACTACAGTGATTGTGGTAACACTGGCAGCATAGTGGTTGACTACAGTGATTGTGGCAACACAAGCAGTATAATAGTAGACCACAGAGACTATAACAACACTGGCAGCATAGTGGTTGACTACAGAGACTGAGACAACACAAGCAGCAAAAGAGTTGACTACAGAGACTGTGGCAACACTGGCAGCATTGTGGTACAGTGACTGTGGAAAAACTGGCAGCATAGAAGTAGACTACAGTCACTGTGGCAACACCGGCAGCATAATGGTTGACTACAGTGACTGTGGCAACACTGGCAGCATTTTGGTAGACTACAGTGACTGTGGCAACACTGGTAGCATAAATGTTGACTACAGTGACTGTGGCAACACTGGCAGCATTGTGGTAGACTACAGTGACTGTGGCCACAATGACAGCAACACTGGCAGCATAGTAGTTGACTACAGTGACTGTGTCAACACTGGCAGCATAGTGGTTGACTACAGTTACTGTGTCAACACTGGCAGCATAGTGGTTGACTACAGTGACTGTGGAAACACTGGCAGTTTAGTGGTAGACTACAGTAACTGTGGCAACACTGGCAACATAAAGGATGACTACAGTGACTGTGGCTACACTGGCAGCATAATGGTTGACTACAGTGACTGTGGAAACACTGACAGCCTAGTTGTTGACTACATTGACTTTGACAACACTCTCAGCATAGTAGTTGACTACAGTGACTGTGGCCACACTGGCAGCAACACTGGTAGCATAGTGGTTGACTACAGTGACTGTGGCAACACTGGCAGCATAGTGGTTGACTACGGTGAATGTGGCTACACTGGCAAAATAATGTTTGTCTACAGTGACTGTGGCAACACTGGCATCATAGTGGTTGACTACAGAGACTATGGCAACACTGGCAGCATAGTGTTTGACTACAGAGACTATGGCAACACTGGCAGCATAGTGGTTGACTACAGTGACAGTGGCAACACTGGCAGCAACACAGGCAGCATAGTGGTTGACTACAGAGACTCTGGCAACACTGGCAGCAAAACAGGCAGCATTGAGGGTTGACTACAGTACTGTGGCAACAATTGCAGCAACACTGGCAGCATAGTGGTTGACTACAGAGACTGTGGCAACAGAAGCAGTATAATGGTTGACTACAGAGACTGTGGCCACACTGGCAGCATAGTGGTTGACTACAGTGACTGTGGCAACACTGGTAGCATAATGGTTGACTACAGAGACAATGGCAACACTGGCAGCATAGTGGTTGACTACAGTGACTGTGGCAACACTGGCAGCATAGTGTTTGATTAGAGTGACTCTGTCAACACTAGAAGCATAGTGGTTGACAACAGTGACTGTGGCACCACTTGCAGCAACACTGGCAGCATAGTGGTAGTCTACAGAGACTGTGGCAACACTGGTAGCATAGTGGTTGACTACAGTGACTGTGGCAACACTGGCAGCATAATGGTTGACTACAATGACTGTGTCAACACTAGCAGCATAGTGGTTGACTACAGAGACTGTGGCAACACTGGCAGCAACATAGGCAGCATTGTTATTGACTACAGTACTGTGCCAACAATTGCAGCAACACTGACAGCAACACTGGCAGAATAGTGGTTGACTGCAGAGACTGTGGCAACGGTAGCAGCATAATGGTTGACTACAGTGACTGTGGCTACACTGGCAGCATTGTGGTAGACTATAATGTCTGTAGGAGCAGTGGCAGCACTGTGGTAGACTATAGTGACTCTTGCAACACTGGCAGCATATTGGTAGACTACAGTGACTGTGGAAACACTGGCAGCAACAATGGCTGCATAATTGTTGACTACAGAGACTATGGCATCACTGGCAGCATTGTGGTTGACTACAGTGACAGTGGCAACACTGGTAGCAAAATAGGCAGCATAGTGGTTAACTACAGAGATTGTGGCAACACTGGCCGCAACACAGGCAGCATAGTTGTTGACTACAGTGATTGTGGCCACAATGGCAGCAACACTGGCAGCATAGTGGTTGACTACAGAGACTGAGGCAACACAAGCAGCAAAAGGCATGACTATAGAGACTGTGGCAACACTGGCAGTATTGTGGTAGACTACAGTGACTTTGGCAACTCTGGCAACATAATGGTTGACTACAGTGACTGTGGCAACACTGTCAGCATTGTGGAAGACTACAGTGACTGTGGCAACACTGGCAGCATAATAGGAGACAACAGAGACTGTGGCAACACTGGCAGAAACTGGCAGCATCGTGGTTGACTACAGAGACTATTACAACACTGGTAGCATAGTGATTGACTACAGTGACAGTGACAACACTGGCAGCAAAACAGGCAGCATAGTGGTTGACTACAGAGACTGTGGAAACACTGGCAGCAAAACAGGCCGCATAGTGGTTCACTACAGAGACTGTGGCAACACTGGCAGCAAATGGGTTGGCTACAGAGACTGTGGCAACACTGGCGGCATAATGGTTAACTACAGTGACTGTGGCAACAATGGCAGCATAGAGGTTGACTACAGTGACTGTGGCAACACTGGCAGCACAGTGGTTGACTACAGTGACTGTGTGAACACTAGCAGTATAGTGAGTGACTACTGTGACTGTGGCAACACTGGCAGGAACACTGGCAGCATAATGGTAGACTACAGAGACTGAGGCAACACTGGTAGCATAGTGGTTGACAACAGTGACTGTAGCAACAATGGCAGCATAGTGGTTAACCACAGTGACTCTGTCAACACTAGCAGTATAGCGGTTGACTACATTGACTGTGGTAACACTGGCAGCAGAGTGGTTGGCTACAGAGACTGTGGCAACCCTGACGGCATAATGGTTAACTACAGTGACTGTGGGAACAAAGGCAGCATAATGGTCGACTACAAAGACTGTGGCAACACTGGCATCAACACTGGCAGCATAATGGTAGACTACAGAGACTGAGGCAACACTGGTAGCATAGTGGTTGACAACAGTGACTGTAGCAACAATGGCAGCATAGTGGTTAACCACAGTGACTCTGTCAACACTAGCAGTATAGCGGTTGACTACATTGACTGTGATAACACTGGCAGCAGAGTGGTTGGCTACAGTGAATGTAGCAACACTGGCATCAACACAAGCAGCATATTGGTTGACTACAGAGACTGTGGCAACACTGACGGCATAATGGTTAACTACAGTGACTGTGGGAAGAAAGGCAGCATAATGGTCGACTACAAAGACTGTGGCAACACTGGCATCAACACTGGCAGCATAGTGGTAGACTATAGAGACTGTGGTAACACTGGTAGCATAGTGGTTCACTACAGTGACTGTAGCAACACTGGCGGCATAGTGGTTGACTACCGTGACTATGTCAACACAAGCAG